ATGGTTAAATTTGCCAGTTGCTGGGGTTTTTTTTTTTGCATTAAATTCATACTAATTTTTGAGTTTTACAAAATCCCATAAAAACACATAGTGTGGATGTTTTGCAAGGAAAATGTCTTTAGAGTAAATTCTCACTGATCATCCTGTTTGATCGGATTAGTTGCACTGGACCTGCTGCTCCTCTAACTCCAAAGCATGGATTTTCCAACTTCTTCAGGTAGTGATGGTGTACCGAGATTGTAAAGGACAATACAAATTTACTGGAGGAAAAAAGTTTCCTAGGTAGATACTGAAATGTAATAAAGATACACGACTTAAAATACACCAAAATCTTGCTGTACCTTCTTCACAAACAGCTTTTGCAATCCTGTATGGTTTTACGCATCTGAATTGTGCAGTTTTTGAAATGACCCTGGACAGTTGCTCTGCTCCAGGCTCACTTCTGTTGCCTGGTGTGGCGTGGGCCTCTTCCAGGCCATTATTTGGTCTCTCTTGGTGGGATGAGAGCCTGTCGTCTACCAGTTGCTTGCCAGTGGCATCCTGTTAAAGGGGTCTCGTTTGTGCTGCGTAGTGTTTTCCAGATACTCCTGTATTTGAGGTGGTTATGAAAAATGGTGTTTTCCTGCTGTTTTTGGAATACCATTCAGGTGGCTGCCTCCTTGCTTTGAAAGAGGTGGAAGAAGTGATGGTGTCTGAGGAAAGTCAGTCAGCTGACAACTTAGCTGCAACAGTCATTTCTGAAGATCCTCACACTGTTTTGGTAGAGTTTTCTTCGGTGGTGGCAGACACTCAGGAATACATCATTGAGGTAAGAAGTGGGGAGAGAGCCCTCTTATTCTGAACTGAGCATGGTATTTCGTCCGTAAAAACTGCAGCTCTGCATGTTGCTCATCCAGGCTTTTGGGAGAAGGTAAAATAGGATCTAGCCAATGCTACCTCTGCCTGCCTGATCCTAGGGATAAGTAGAATCATAGAATGGTTTGGGCTGGAAGGGACCTTAGAGATCATCCAGTTCCAGCCCCCCTGCCATGGGCAGGACACCCTCCACTACACCAGGTTGCCCAAAGCCTCATCCAACCTGGCCTGGAACACTGCCAGGGATGGGGCAGCCACAGCTTCTCTGGGCGACCTGGTTGAGTGCCTCCCCACCCTCAGAGGGAAGAATTTCTTCCTTAGGGAAGTAGGATTAATCTTTCAGGATTAGTTAATTAATTAATTCAGGAGAGCACCTGGAGCCTACTTCACCACCCTTCTGAAGTCCCTTGTATAACGTAGCCAGGAACTGAGAATGCAGGGAAGACTGACAGTACTTCATCAGAAGGCTGAAACGGAGAACTTCTGATTATACCAGATTTTATGTCCTCACAAACTTCAGCTTTCCCTCTACTTCTACCTACTTCTGATTATACCAGATTTTATGTCCTCACAAACATAAATTCAGCTTTCCCTCTACTTCTACCTACTCTTTTCTCCCATTTCTCCCACTTCTATCTAGCTTATTTTGTCCGAAATAACATCTGTTAACTGGCTGTGCCTGCCAAAAAGAATGAATTGAATATTTCGCTTTCTTCCCCTTCATGACAAAGAGCCAGTAACACGGTTCCTTTATTGAGTGCCCTTAGTGCTGCCATACTTAACATGGAGGCTGCTACCAACAGGAGAAAAATCTGCCAGTTGGCCAAGTCCTGCTGAGCGAGGATGTTCTCTTTCAGTTATGTGTGAGCACTTTGCATGACTTTAAGTAGCTCCTGATAACGGGATTTGGAGGGAATTTCAAGAAGGAGTTGTCTTTAGAGAAGCTACTGCGTCATGGAGGGAACAGAAAGACTTTCGTGAAAGATCTTAGTGTCTTCTGTCTTGGTAATAAAAAGATTTTTTTGCAATAATCTAAAAAGAGAATCATCATATTTTGTCTTTCAAGACTGCTACTGAAGACATGGAGACCAGTGAAGCTACTGAAATAATAGAGGGAACAAGACATGAGGTAAAGCAACCACATAAACTATTATTTTGGGGACTTGCTGGAGAGGAAATGCATCACTTTTAGTGCCTAAAAGTCATGCTAAATAAACCCAACTTCAAAAAACTGATTTACCTATCTCTGTAGTTCTGCAGACCTGTCTGTATAAAAACCTAATACTGGTCATACTGGGTTTGACCAAGCTCTGTTAACCCCAGATCCTCTCCCTGATGGTGCCTAGTGACCTGCGTGGCTTCATACCCGAGTATAGCTGCTATACTTTCTGCAGGAAGTACCCTGCTGGCAAAATGTCTTCAGGGACATGAGATGGGACATGTTCTAGGAGTCTGCTGTTCTCGGGGTGACGAGAACTTCAGTGAACAGCTGGAGGAAACAAGAATTAAATGCTGCTGCTGCTTGTTCTGCCCTGCTGGTCATCAAGGACTGGTGATGGTCTGTACAGTACACCAAGAAATGACTTGTGCTCGTTTCCCTCCATGTAGGTCGACAGCCACATCATGAAGGTTGTGCAACAAATAGTAAATCAAGCAAACTCTGGTCACCAGATCATTGTACAGAACGTCACCGTGGCAGAAAACTCGGAAGTGGGCAGCGACGCTGCGGACACCATCACCATCGCGACCCCCGAGAGCCTCACGGAGCAGGTGGCCATGACGCTGGCGTCCGCCATCGGAGAAGGAGCGGTGCTGACCACGGAAGGTGGCATCGAGGCGGAAGAAGCAACGGTGACGATGGTGGCATCCGAGGACATTGAAATCATGGAACATGCAGGAGAGTTTGTGATCGCCTCCCAGGAGGGGGAGGTGGAAGTCCAGACTGTGATTATGTAAGGAGCAGCATGCAGCTACTGACAGATGCTAACGTAAAACTTACTGGTTTTCCCCAGTTTGGGGAATTTGATCAGCCCTAAGCTTGCCATTGTAATTGTTCAGAGAGTAAGGGGGGAGAATGCTTCTCTAGGTAAGTGGCTTAACAGGATGGTACAGCTCCGAGATGTTTTCTGTTTAAATTGGAAGTAAGAGAAGTTGAGAACCTCTGCATGGTTACACTGGGGAAGTGACTGATACACCCTGTTGGACAGTCTCAGTGCTTTGTACAGCTGCCTCACATAAAGGAAGATCCTTTGTGTATCATTTACCTCCGGCCACAGGGCAGTAGTGTTCTGGTGTTTAGATTGAAGAGGATTCAGAAAGTGGAGCAACCACGTAGGGTCTCCTAAGAGACAACTTAATCATATGCAGTTAAAACAAACCAAGAAAACCAAACCTAAGGAGTTCTGGTGTGCAGCCACCACCACTCGCAAACTTTTCATGCCTTTAACCTCACTACTTTAGTCCTCCTAAGGCATGGTACTGCAGTATTTTATTTTCTTTTATATCCTGGACAAGTAGCCTTATGTACTGGTCTACGAAAGAATGCATCAGTGTACCCTTGCAATGCCAGACAGGCTGCTCTGAGAGCTAGTCTGTTGGTGTGTAAAGCCATATTGTATAGGATTTTTTTTTTTTAAAAAAAAACATATATGGATTTTTAATTGCATATTGTACAGATTCAGCATGTAAATAAATACATTTTTAAAAATAAAGTTATTTAAAGTTCTTACTGTATTTTTTCCAATTTTTGCTCTGTTACCACTCAGAAGGATTTCTCAAAAGAGAAGAAAACAGGGCCCCATAACATCATGCTTAAGAAACCTTCATTGTTGGGCGAGTCAAACATGCTGGTTTTCCTAAAACAAACACAATGTTTTGGAGATGTTTCAAGTGCTGCAAAACGCCCAAAATATAAAGAAATGCCCAAGACACAGTAGAGCCTCTCGCTGTGAACAGATACAGCAAACAATGCGATAAAGATGAAAAGTGCCAGAAAGATTAAGTCTGTAATCTGCCAGGACCTGGATGTGCAGAGCTCAGTATCAAGTTTCTGATACCCTTTTCAGGATGCTGAAATCTTGCCTGTAATTCCACCGTTTTCCTGACTCTGAGGCTGAAATGGCATCTTATTTTGAAAAAGCTGAAAACAGGTATCAAGGAAGAGGCTTAGCAGGTAAGCAGTTAGCACTTGTAGTAGTTATTAAGGTTCTCTCTACTAGTCCAAATTTGCAGTAGAACATGGTTTCTGCAGGCTAAGATTCTGCCAGGAATCTCATTTTTTACCAGCTAAAAACATGCAACCTATTCTACATATTGTTAACAGTAATAGGTTGGTCATTTGCCAAACAAAGGTACTTACAAAAAGATGAAGCTTCCTCAAAGTTGGCAGCAGCTCTTTGTTAGCTCCTCCCTTGCGAGTGCACACACAGAGGAAAAGATTCACTTCAGTGGGATGGACCAAACTCGCCTCTCCATACCAGCAAGTTCATACTGGTCCCTCCAACAAGGAAATGAGGACTCAGCTTAACCTCAGCCATCCCGAGTGAGGTACCTTCAGCAGTGCTCTGCTGAGCACTTAATCAGAATACTGCAAATACTAACCCACAGCTGAATACAGTCAACTGGGAGTTACTATTTTTCTTCAGGGGAAAAAAAAAAAAAAAAAAAGGGTGAGTAGCTGACAAATACTTGCATTCAGATGTTTACCACTTCCAGGTGTGTGAAATCGCTCTATTCCTGTGAGGTCTCCTGCAGGAAGACCTACTTAGGATGCACCAAAGTAACCAGGGACTCAGTTTGCCTATTATACAGTGATATATTATGCAGAACACCAACAGTAATCACAAAATAAAAAGTTCCTTGTGTACATTGTTTCTTAGCTGAACCAGTACAGCTTGCTTCTGTACTGCGATCGTGTCTGAAAAGACTAACAGGCCACTGCCACAACTGGTACGAGCAGCGTTACAGATAAACTCAGGACAATTCTAGTTTTTTGAAAACTGGTTGGCTTTATGAAAACATCGTTTCCAATTACTTAACTGAAATACAGTAATCTTTTTCCAAAAGTTGTTTGAGGCATCAAAGCGCGCTGCTGAAATAAAAGTCTTACAAAAAGTTTAAAAATGCATACATAAACAATAGTATCTTCACGTTTTCTTCTTTCTTTCCAACACTGTAAGAGGCTTAAAGATTTCCTTTAAATTCATCCAGACTCCTCTGGAATAAATGTTTTTGTAGACAACCTGTCGGTCATGAGGCTGCAATGTTAGATGGTGGGAACACCCGTATCTTCTGGATTTATACCATTCATTGGAAGTTTGGTTGGTCAAGGCCAAGTATAGACTGAAACACCAGTATGCACCCAGTACGAGCAGGAGAAGAATTACAAAACCAAGCATGAAGACAATCCTAGGAAAAGTCAAGAAAAGGTGCTGCGAAGAAAGAAAATTATAACTTGGTTAAAAAGTTGGAGCATTAAATCACGTGGAGGCATGTGACCGCAGCAGCACGCCAGCTGAAACGCACAGCCACACACGTAACTGTGCAGCCCCAGAACCAGTCCCAGCCCTGTCCCCCACCCAGCTCAGGAATGGTCCCTTCCTAACTGAATCTTTGAGTAGAGCATGAAGATTCCCAGAAATTTCCTCGCCAGCCTTGCTAATGTGCGAGGGTATTTGCTACACCCATCTCTCTGAATGTACTTCACACTGGAGTTTTGCTTGGTTGGTTTTGGGGTTTTGTTTTTGTGGGGTTTTTTTGGTTGGTTGGTTGGTTATTTTTATTTTTATTTAAAGAATCACTAATGCAAATCATCTGAAAATAAACTGCCAAACAAAGAGGCTACAATCTGGTACAACTTCAGGTTTTGCTGACATGATACAGTTTAAGCAGCTCTTTTCTGAGTTAAATTCCAGTACTGGGGAGTGGTAATGGTACTGCTCAAACACAAGCAAACATTCCCTGACCAAGATCCCTTTACAAGAGTCCAAGGCTGAAACGTCTGTTGTCTAGGATGAGGAAAAGATAAAGCATTTACTACTTAACACCTCACTGCCATGCTATAGAAAGGGATGAAGGGATTGAAATGCAAATGACTCAAGTGCTGGAGAGGCTCAAAGTCACCCTTGGCTTGTATGTGAGAGAAAATATAGAAGTATCTAAATTCCAGGGTAGTAGGGTCCTGCTTTAACATCTCCATGAAGATATCTCAAGGATTGTCAACTGTTTCCTAAAATTACTACAGTAGATGTAGGACATTGGAATGTAGAGTCATTCTGTACAAATCAGATCTGCTGAGGGAAAGCAGCCTGGAGACAGAAAGCCGAAGAACAGGAGAGTGGAATGAAGCACCATGAGAAAAATCCCTTATTTTTAAAGTATTCTGCAACAGCAGTTTCCTGAACTTAATTAGCTCTGTAAAGTTTGTAAAAAAAACTGCGGTCTGTCCACGTCCTGCCTCTGAGAACATGTGGACATACAAGTCCTGAAGGCAAAGACTGAGAGAAACCTTTCTATCAGCTAATAACCCAGGCAGCACAACCTCACCTGGACGAGAAAGAGAATCTCGACAGCGTGCTCTTGTCCTCGGTCATCGACGTAGCTCCCGTGCATCACGTCTGTCAGCAGCACCACTTGGACGAGAAATGCTGCTGTGATGCCTGCAATGGTTGCAGCCATGGCAGCCAGCGTGAAGAGGTAAAGGAAAAAATACTTGGCATTGAAGGCACCGATGCAGTTGTTGACCCACACACAGTGGTGATCAAAACGATGTACGCAGACGTTGCAGAGACCTGATGGGGAACAAGTGGTAAGACAGTTCAGTTCTTTGGGTTTTAAGTAATCCATTTGATTTTTACACAGTTTAGGATAGTTTTTCACCTGAGAAAATCTGGAAATTAAGTTCATGATTTAGCTGACAGCTTTCTAAGCAAATACATTAATTTCAGTTGCATATCATAACAAACCCCAACACTAAAAACAAAGACATGAATCTCATTTCCTCTTTTATTCACCAAGACTGCAGCTCAAAGACTTTGGTTTCTCCGACAGTACTGCCTAGCAAAGCACAAGAAAGGTAGAGATTGTAGCTCCGAGCTTTATTTTAGATTACAACAGCAAATTCTGCAAGAGAAACACAAAATCTTGAACTCGGGTCTTGACAGGTAATCACTGTCAAGTGACTTTTAATTTTACTTCTAGATGCTAAAAAGCTTGCCTGCTCCTGACCCACAATGATACCCTGGAACTGCTGATTTCTGTGAGAAGACACAGCAGCAAAACAGTCCCATGGATGGGCAAAGGGCAGCTGCGATCTGGGACCCCAGTAAAAATGGACAAAATCCTGTGTGCATTGAGCTGTATACCAGAGCAGATGTAGTGTGAACTGCAGTTATTGATGGAGAATTAATTTGTGAAAGTACTACTGTTATGCTTATCAAGGCAGTTGAGATTCTTACTGCAATGTTTCGATCTGGCTGGCTTCTCCGTGTTGCAAGTAGGACACACGATACCCTTCTGAAATAATACACCATCATATGCATAAATCTTAACCAACGATGCATGATTTGATCTTGTTATGACACCTGTGAAAGAAACAACAAAACCAGCAGCAGTAATGGTGTTTGTAACATTTTTTAGGTTCCGTTTTCCAGCAGCCACAGCTCACAACCAGGAGGAGCTTACCGGGGTCGGCCCGGGAGCAGAGAAGGAAGCAGCCTATGTTCCCAGCCAGCAGCAGGTAGGGCAGCAGCAGCAGGAAGAGGTGGAACTGCAGCTCCCAGCAGTAAACAAACACTTCCCATGTGTATTCCCCGTACACTGCAGCTTGCAAGGTGATGTGCAGGACAACAAACAAACAGCTCCTGTAACAGAAAGGAGACAGTCTATTTAATACTCAGCATCCTGATTAACAGGTCAAGTACACTCAGAGGTGATCAGCAAAGACTTTCCAAATGCAAGGAGACACCTCTTTTAGGTTTTCAGGCCAGCGTGGATTGCATATTAATAGCATTTTCTCCATCCAGTGGCTTCTCCTTCTCTTCTTCCCACATACACTCATTTAAATATGCCAGCTAAATTCACTTCCATCATTGTCATGTCCTTTGGATTTTTTTTTCCAACAGCAGAGTCAAGTAAAAAGCACCCTTGGTGCTGACAAAACATGCCACAGCACCAGGCCACAAACCATTCTGCCAGAAGACATTTGCTGTGTGCTGCTCTGAAAGCAAAGAAAACCCCAGTAAAAGGTAATCTTAAAAAACCTGTAACAATATAAGCAGCTGTTAGGAAATAAGCATAGCAGGAGGTCAGCAGTGGCAAACACTAGTTCCAACCCGTTGGCAGACTACAGCTTTGGTGAGGCAAGTTGCACAACCTCTTGGCACATGGGTTTGTTTGGGAGGCATCACGCTGAGCAACAACTTTCAGCAGGCTGGCAAAGAGATGCTCAGACAAGCCACGCCGTTAGGACAGCGATGCTCACTCACTGCAGCTCTCTGTAGCACACATCATTTTGCTGGACTTTTACTAAGAGTTTTAAGCAGCAAGTGATGTGTATTTTACGACAGCGGGAAGTCTGTTGCAGACATCCTCTGCTCTACTGCTCTCTCCTACACCATTTCTGTGTGCAATCCAGCAGGATCCTGTGGAGTCTCCTCTCAACCATGGGGCTACAAGAAGGTACCCTCGAGTGCTGGGCCTCACTGGGCTTCTGCACGAACTGAAAAATCTCGTGCTTGAACGAGGTGACGCAGCCGAAGCGGGCACACAGAGATCAAAGTGCCTCCAGCACACAGCATAATCTAGCAGTGACAACTACACCAGGCTCATCAGGCAACTGCTCTGCTGCTGACAACACGTTTGACAGTGTGACCACAGGCAACAGAACAACTGCAGCACACACTGAACAGCTGTAGATGTTATGCCTCTGAAGTGTCTATCACACTGGAGCTGCTGCCCCCAGAGGAAAGGTACTTAAATCGATCCTGAAGCAGATTCTAAAGCACCAAAGTTTACAGGACACTACAATATTCACCTTAATACAGCAGGCTGCACGTTGGCAGCTGTGCAGCTTCCCCCCTTGAGCCACCTGGACATCCGAGCTGCTGGCCTAAGACTAATGTGATCCGAGGGAGAGGATGGGGATCGCTAGCTCTGTCTAAACTCAATCTGCAGCTGCCAGAGAGTCTGTTGTAATTCTCCCATGGATGCAGCCTCCCACCAGTGTGACCAACATCTGTTACGCTGGAAGCTACTGGACCACATTATTTGTCAACGTTCAAATATTTCAGGGTGCCACAGAAAGACAACAGTGTGGGAACCTTAAAGGGAATTTGTAATTCCTGACAAGCACTCCTGATGAAAAGAGAATATCTAAGGATAATACTGAAAGCTCTGATGGTGGCAGGAGGTCACCAACAGTAACCAGAAATGCGAGTGAAAAATGATGTCAAAAGCATAAAAAACAAAGTGCACTACCTTGTGTGGAAGAGCCTGTGAAGTGCCCTCTGTGTCACTCTCTGGAGCCGTGCGGGGATTACAAACGACAGTACCTGAAGGGAAGGAAAACACAGTGTTCTCTGAATCACACATCGCTGCTGCCCTGTGGAAATTCCAAACAAACCCCTAAGTCACCTAATCCCTCAATTATACATCACTGTAGCCACACCACTGGGGAGGAAGCTCATTTTCAGGGGCATCTGAGCCCCTAAGAACATGGACAGGCACGTTGCTGGGGTTTTCAAAATGGGAGTGAGGTTCCACATTCTCAGAAGTCCAAGAGGCACAAACAAAGATATCTGGGTTAATGTGTGAAAGTTATAAGGAGCTTATATCGCATTGTAGACTGGGTAACTGGTTAAGCAGGGGATAGAACTGAGCAATTCCTGAACTACAATATGCTTCATCAGGACATCTGACAGATGCAAGCAGAGATAAGCAGAGGGATAAAGCCTGCCATCCTCCAGAAAAAGGAAAAAAACAAACCCATAACCCAACCAAAACCCAAACAAACTCCACCAAACCAAAAAAATCCACAGTTTCTTCAACTACAGCTATGATCCAGCCGGATAACTCCATGTCTATCTAACTGCCCTTTCAAAACCAGCTCGACACAATGAAGAAGAAAACTGCCTGTCCTCATTCCGTGAAATCCTCAGCAACAGTCTGCGACTGCGGAATTGTTTGACTCTGCTGTTCAGAAGATGACAGATCTCTATAGCAACACGCTGCTCCATCAGTGGCGGAGGAATTAGAGCAGCTGAGCCTATTTCTAGCTGACACAGAAAGAAAATATGCAGTGAGAGATTCTTGTCTCAGATGTGAAAGACCAGAAGGCAAAAAGCATATGTAGAGTTGAGAAGATGTTAAATATTTTCCTTTTAACTGGTATGCCTCATATCAGCAGTGCAAGTGACAAGTCTTTTTTAAAAAAAGAGGCTGTGTACTGCAATGCCAAACACATAACTAGACAGAAAAGAAACCTGCACGCAATTGCGAAATTCAAATTTAAATTAACTCTGTGTGTGTCAGGACAGTCTAACCTTACATTCAATATCCATCATTCTCCCCCATACTGCACAACAATCCCCTGTATTCCAGCCATTCCTTACGCCAAAGGCTCTTACAAATCCGGTTTGTGCCTGCAGTGGGGACGGAAGGAGGAGAGAACGAGAAGACCTGCACAGGGAATACAACCATCTCGCCCAACAGCACCCCTGGAGCAAGGAAAACAGGCCCTTGGTGGACCCTGACTTGCCACAGGGCAAGAAACAGCTGTGCTGTGGGCAAGTTAATTATTTCATAGTGCTGACAGCAAACACTTCAAGGGATCTCACAGCAGCGCAGTCAAACAGTTTCGACAAACTTCCAGGATTATAAGCTTCATTAATTACAGTCAGAAATGAATTTAAAATACAGTATCTAGAGAAACTATTCAGGATTACCGATATTTATTTCAGGCGTACAAGTATCGACTGTATTTCTCCAGAGAGTGACTTTACATCACAGCAGTATTTTAATTGCTTTATATGTTTCATAGAAGCAGCTCTTAAGAAACGTGGGAAAATAATACACTTCTCTGCACAATGACCTGCGTGTTTATAAAGCAAAATGGAAAGAAAGTATAACACTAGTAGCAAAAATCCAAGTCTGTAAATAGCACTAAATATTATTTACAATTTAAATGACAATTCTCTTATCCTTTCCCTTCCAAGAAAGCTACGCCTTTTCTTTTTTTTGTTCCCTTCTTCATTCACAGCCCAACAGACAGAAAAATAAGCTAGTGTGTTTTCAGAGAATCGTCTGGTTGGAAGAGACCTTCAAGATCATCGAGTCCAACCATTAAATTCATCAATTCATTCCCTGTTTTTACAATAAAATACCCATTCTTAATCCTCTTTTAAAGCTCTTCATTCCTCCCTTTCTTAGGAAACAACAGCCTGCATCATGATTACAGACTCATGTTAAAGAGCTTCCCCTAAAATATTTGCTTCCAGTTATAATTCTCTCCTTATTTTAACCCTCAAACCTTCCCCCACCTTTTCCCCTTAGTAACAGCAGCAAATACCATAAAATCGTAAATACTTGGGGCCTCATTATTTAACTTCTCCAAGGGGAAGCGTTACGGCGTCGCTGATCAACACTGCGAGAAGTTCCCTCCTCACCAGTGCCCCGTGGTGCCCACACAGCCAGACTGGCACACGCCAAACTGGAGCTCTAAGACCCAAATGGTTTTTTTACCACCTGCTTGGGCAGGGTTTCGCCAGCGGAAGGGAGGTGTGTTTCTATTTCCAACACCCACGAGCACCCACCTCGGTGGTCAAAATCAGGCAAAACAGGGAACGCACCACCCCATGGCTCTAACCGCACGCACTGGCACTTTTTATGGATTTTGGCACCACGAAGAGGGCAGAGCAGGAGGGCGGGAGCTGATGGCCGCTGGAAGGCTCAGTTCTTTACCTGGCTTGCCCTGCTGGCGCTTCCCGCCAGGAAACCCCCCTTCCTCCCGGAGCACACGCAGAGCAGGGCGGCAGTACCGAGAACGGAACACAAGTAAATCGCCAGCAGCGTCAGAAAGTCCATCCCGAGCGCCGCCA